GATTCAACTTTAATTACTATATATATATATATTTGCGCGTCTGTGTGCATATAAGTATTAGGGTAAAAATGAAAATTTCTGCTTTTTCACGTTTTTAAATAATGCCAACTTAATGAATTAAATATAACTGAAATTTTATGGTTTTAGTTGTGGATTATACTGTAAATTCTATAATTGTTAATACATATGCTTAGGAAAAGTCTGATTATTTTTTAGCATAAACTGATACAAGGGTTTGATTAATATTTTTAAAACATTTAAATTTCATGGTTAAAGAACAGAATTTGATCACATATAAATATGAAACATAACATTAATATATACGAAGTAATAACATAAGGCGGATCTCAATGCAAAAAAAAGAATGTTTGTCCATTTTGTTTTAGTCCATTTTTCGTCTTATTTTCCTAAATTCATTAAAATGTCAGTTCCATATGTTTTATTCCAATGCTTTTCCATTATTTGAAATATTAATGACATGCATTTAATCAGTAGTTTCATTTTAAATTGTTTATGCTCCGTTTTTATATTTGTTTGCTTAAAGGCAGGCTTTCTAATATCTTTTGTTGTAGTCATTTTGATGTTGTCCTTATACACTTATTAAAATTCAGCTATTGTTTTGTATTTACACGAAAAAAAATTTTTGGCAAAATTTCCGTATTGTATGGTAATGACATTACTGGTAAGAACAAGAATAAATTATATAATTATATTAAAATATTAGCTAACAAAACTACGGTATTTAACCCATTATCTAACGGTATTACGATAAATACGGTATTTAAACCATTCGTCTCGTAATTTTTCCGTTCATATGATAAAGGTTTTCCCAAAATTCTTCAAAATTACAATCCTTATTACCACGCATTTGATTAAGAATTTAACCAAATAAATAGTTTTTATGCCATACTCTTAGATTAAAAATGACCAAATTTTATCGCGTATTATCAATCATAGTTTATTGTTCATTTTATCAAAAACATTACCAGAGTGTTTCGGTAAAAATGTTTGAGATTTTTTGTGTTACAATTGAAGCCAGAAACACGATACACTTTACTATTTTGTGATAGTTTTGATAATTCTTTTTTTTCAGGGTGAACATTAAAATTCTATACTACTTTCAGGGTGAAATATACTACTTTCAGGATGAATTCTATACTATTTTCAGAATTAAAATTCCATAATACTTTTCAGGGTGATCATTGAAATTCTATACTACTTTCAGGGTGAAATATACTACTTTCAGGGTGAATTCTTTACTACTTTCAGGATTAAAATTCCATAATACTTTTGAGGGTGATCATTAAAACTCTATAAAAATTTCGATAAAACTTTTTAATACCTGCCTAACAAGAATTAATAAATATTACTTAATATTTTTTCTCACCTTCATGAGCCAGTGGAAATCGTTATGCAAGCAGCTCGGACAGCTGTCATCCACTTCCATGATTGGTAACGTGTCTTCCGTTGTAACTAATATTCTATGATCTGTGTATATAAGGCAGGCCAGGTAGACTCCCCTATTGAAATGTAAACGATATCGTCAACAATCATTTAGAAGGGAATCAATTGGAATAACCCTAAAGGTTGCATAATAACCTTTAAAATGTGATGGTATGCATTATTAAGCCTTTATTAGGTAATGAATTTGAAACTTCTTCGACCAAATGCTTTGAAACACTCTAGCTAATTAACCTATTTCCATTTTATAGTTTATCGATGCACAAATATTTATGAATTAAAACTATAAAAGAAATTATTAATTAATCATATGCAGAGGTGACTGAATGTAAACAGGAACAAACTTTCTAAAACGGAAGAAATTTAAAAAAGTTTCGGTGTATCCCTCCGCTTATGTTACGTTTACGAGGCGACATGTGAGAAGGCTTGATATTCCAGGAATTTATAGTATTGCAATTTATGTTTAAATTTATGCACAATTTTACCATTCTCAAGAGTTTTCTGCAATTTATAAATTCTAAAAGGTTGCTGTCTTTCAATAAAATTAGGAAAATCAACATCACTTAATAAATAAAGTTTAAGGCTTGCCATGTTTTGTGTGTTTCCCCTTATATGGCTATGTTTGCGCAAAATGTAGCTATTTGTTATTTTTTGGGTAGCATCATAGCATGCTTATGGAGTTTCTGAAATTCGTTTTCGGCTAAATTTAAATGCATTAAGCTAAAAATAAAGGAACGCGTTATATTGTAAATACTACTAGTATATTAATATTGGCTGGTGCCCTTTCTCCAATTTAGGTGTAAAAATAAATCGTAAGTAGTAATCCAGAAGTCTTACAACAACTGTTAAGACCTAGCGCCACCTGCGCTTAGATTTACATGGTCAACCATCCATAACTTGTAATAAGGAATTGTATCCAAACTTATAGTTTATATCTACTATGGAATACCTGCAAGTGACCTAGTGCGGGTATAATCATCCTGATTGGTTGTTGAAGCGTAGCATTTGTTTAAATTAGCAACTGTTCTTTCGATTCTATTTCGAGTAAGCCAAGCCCATCAAAGATCAATTCTTTTAAGTGACATATTCTATATTTTTACACAAAAATTCTTTCACAAAGATTTCAATTCTTTCACTATACATTTCTTACTTAAGCACAAAGAGAGGCATGAAGCTTTGAAGAACATAAACAAACTAATTATGCATCTAAGTTGCCAAGTACACAAAACAAAAATATATCATGGTTACAATAAAAAACCTAAACAAATAGTAATTTTTAATAATTAAACTAATTTTTTCTGCATTAATCGGAATATTATATTAAGAGGATTCAACTTTAATTACGTTAAAACATCACCTTATAAGGTGTCCCTCCGAAAATATTGAAACTACTCTAAAATGCTTTTTTTTCTTATTTTATTCCCTTGAGGTGTATATTTAACTAAGTGCTTTCGTTATATTTTTTATTTTATTTTGAAGGCTTTGACAGAAAAACTTTTTAATATTTCATATTTTTAGGAATTTTAGAAACATAAAATATGCACCGTAACAAAAAAAAAAGAAAAAACAGAAAAAAATTTTAAAAATAAAATTAGTAATCGTTTTTTTTTAAACTTGTACAAATATTGTTATTTTATAACCATGTAATACTTAGATAGATCATAGGACAAATTTTAATAAACATAATACGTTAATCAGAGTGTTTCATTTATACGAGTATTATATTAATATGAGTATTATATTTACAGTAGTTTTACATTAATATGAGTTTTATAATGACAAGAGTGTTTTACTAATTCAAGTTTTATATTATTGTTTAAAAATAACGTATTATAATGTTGTAAGTTTGTTGGAGTGCATTAGTTTTGCAAACGTATAGACAGATAAAAGTGCTTTTTCGTAAGAATTTCAGATAATATTTGTTTTCAGACATCGTAAAGTTTAAATAAATTAAATAACTGGAGTATACCTTTTCATATATTTCTGAAACTTAGGTGTCGGCGTAAAAAGATTCTTAATACTCTTCTTTACTTGTCTCCTCTGCTGCTGAGGTGTTTCTAAAGTGTTGCCAAATATGATGTCTGTTATGAAGAAATTAATGAAAATTTAAAATAGTTTTATGTCAAAAATTTCAAAATTTTATAAATAAAAATATCTGCTTACAATAAAACTATTCTTTTTACATTAAAATTAATTAAGGTATCCAAATGGGTGAAAATGCCATTAATCTTTATTTTGTAAGAATAAACTGACTAAAAATGTGTTTTATTTAATCTAATAATGTAAAGCCATCGACAAAGACAAAAAAATTTTAATAAATAAAAAGTGGACATAATTTAGCTTTATTAATTGTGTCTTGCATGATTTCGTAGCGTTGTTCAGTACTGAGTTTTAATTGTTCTTCTTACCCCGTACGGAGAACGGGCATTTAGTTTGTAATCTTTTAAAAAAAATCGGCAATTTAGACGACAAAAAAAAATCGATTTTTTTCTTAATTATTAGACTTTTTTAAACTTTGTTCATTAGCTTTCTAAAAATCCTTCAAAATTTTTGTCTCCTTATCCTAGAAACGAAGTTTTAGAATAAATGTTTCTGAAGCTTTAGAATAGTTGTCTCAGATTTTTAGAATAGATGCATTTTCGTATGCAGACAGATTAAACAGAACCTGGAAGTAAATTCACGTAGTATTTCTAACCGTATTTATTTAAATAAATTATTGACAAATATAAGGTAAAAATTTTTTTTCCAGAAATTAGTTTTTGAATTATTAGCTTTTTAGTTGTCAGGATGTTCTTATATTTCAGAATTTTCTTTAATTTTAATAGCATTTCTGAAGAATGTTAATTTTGAAAAAAATATCTTGATTCTAACACAATATACAAAACAGTATATTAAAAGTATGTACTTTGAAATTTCGAATGTAAATTTGATATAATACCAGTGATATTCCGAATTAAAAGCTGGGGTCTAAGTTTGAATTTGTGATTTTTATCAAGCTTTAAGTTAAGATGTTTAGAATTTTTCTTTAAAAATTAGATATTAAACAATGTAAGTAGGTCTATTTCATTGTTTTTTTTAAATTTTTTTTTAAAGATTTTAATTTAAAACACAGATATTGATTTAGAAAAAAGATATTTTGAAATTTATACATTACAATTTGTTGTAAAGCTCTCAGTATGAGATGAAAAGTTTTTATGCTCAAATTTGTCCTTATTTTAAAAAATTATTATATTAATTTTTAAATGTTACCTTAATTTTATAAATTTAGAATCCCAGCTTACCAAACATAAATAAAAATTTTAATTGAGTCTTTTTAAAAGAAATTACGTCGGATACCTTAAATGCAGTTCCAGTAAATAACTATGCTTATTTTATTTATTAATAGAACTACTAGCGTGAGTCATAAATTATGCATTCCAAAATGCTTTTAAATAAAAAATAAGAACTTGATGTTCTGTTCAGATACATTTTTATAGCTTTAGTTTTACGATTAGAAAAGATGTTAATTTTATTTATTAAGTTTACAACAAACTCTAAAATAATAAATTTTGTCTTATTATAAAGTTTGAGCATACCTTTAATTTCTGATGAGCAAGGAGGTCTTGTAAAAATAATTTGATGAAATACGTAGTCGAGCTGACACAAGCGACCAAAAGCACGTGATTTTTTGCCGCTAATATCCATCCAACCTGAAAGGAGTTAAACATGAATCACTTGCTTTCAATAAGGAACTAATAATTATATTTTCTTAAAAAAAAATCTATAAATTTCCCATTTTACACCCGTAAAACATAATGTTTTATTTGCCTACTCAGATCAGTCTGTCTTCTGAATTAACTTAATTCAAAACTAAACATAATGTTTTATTTGTTTACTCAAATCAATCTGTCTACTGAATAAACTTAATTCAAAACTAATCTACTCATTGGAATTTTCAATTAAAAATGTATACATATATAAACAACAAGGTTTTAGGAATACTTTTTGCAAGTCGAATAAAAGGGATAAATTATTCTGTTTTAGAGATCAAAAGTTACAAATAAAAGACGAAAAAGCCAAAGAAATAAAAAAAAATGTAATGTGCTTCACTTTCGAAGGATCTGTGGGGAATTGTCAGAGGTGATGGAAGTTTTATTACTAAAGTGTTTTTTTTTTCTGCAATTTTGTCTTCTGTTGGACAGACAAAATTCTTTTGCATTTTAGTCTACTTCAAAGACGTAGTGTCTTTAAAATTTTCATTTATTTTGTAATTTACTCTTCTTGGTTACATGTATGTTAATTATTTTAAGTAGTCATCAAAATTTCGATTGGCTAATACGCAACAATAGATATACAGAACACTATTTAAGAAACACTGCTCAAGCAGTGAGCTCCAGTTTAAAATTGAGCAAATCTACCTTCTTGAAAGTTTGATTCTTGATATATCCTACTTGGCACCATTAAAATAACAGATAATTTTACCTCAATTAAGAAATATCTCTATGTTAAAAATAATCTAAGCAGTATCACGGTTGCTTTGGGTTTTCAACTTTACGTTACATTCTGTTTTGGTGCAAAAAAAACTGTAAAACATGGAAACATACATTATGAAAAGGGATAGAAGAGTGTACAGGTAGAACGATGGAGTAATTTTTTTTCTAAATAATTTGTTCAGAAATTATTATCTTTTTAATTGGTTTCAAACATTTATAAAATGGCTCTCCCTTAAGCCCACAGAAATGCAACTAAATAGTTTATATTTGAGATGCTGATCTGGTTGCTTTTATTTATAAGTTTAACGCTTTTTTTTTAAATCTAAATTTCTTTAAAGGTATTTAAATTATAAATTAAATATAAATTACTTAAATTTTCCCTCACTGTTTTGCTTTAAATATTAACTATTTATCCATTGCTGTAGAAAAACTTATCACTTACTAGATCGTTATTTTGTGAGCTTATGCACAAGTTGATGCTGAAAATAACAAAAAGAGAGGGAAAGAGAGAGATTAGGTGTTAAGAAATATAAATCTTAACATTTATATTGAAAGTTTTGAAAATATAAAAGGTAACAAATCTTCGTTAGAGATAAAAATAGATTCAAATTTGAATTCTTTTTATGATGAAAAGTTATTGATGTGCAGCATTGACGAGTAAAATTAATCATTTATTTCTTTATTTCTTATTATAATTTTTAAAATCCAGATAATCCTTCATTTCTTTATTATTAACATATTATTCTTACATAAAATCATGACCAACATACATTATATTAACAAAATGACCTTTGGTTTGTTTTTGGTTGGAAATATTAATTTTCACTATAAAAATACAATGTAAAACTATAATGGGGGTTGGAGTACGGAGCATTTTAGTAATTAAAGAAAGATTTATGGAAATTGCGAGATTAAAAAAATATTTTTGACGAAATAGCTAATTTTCACTTTATTAGTTAAGTAAATTAATGCAGCTATTACGTGCCATAAGTTATCGCACATATTCTGTTCCAAAGGAATTACCAGCATTGCTCATGAAATCATGTATTGATCACTTACTGGAGGGTGCAGCACTTGGAGGATTTGCAGTCGTGTATGAGCTATATCCAATAGAATTGCCGGCTGCTACACGAACATGATATGGCACTCCATGAATTAAATCGTTAAGCACTATTTCAAGTCTTTGAAGATTAACTGTTTCACGCGAACCAGATAATGGATGGAAGTCGGGTCGAACACTCCATTCAACTGAAAATAGACGAAAAGTAACCTTATCCTTATATATATATATCTGTATATATGTGTATATATATATTATATAGCACAATAAAGACAAAAAAGAAAAGAGAGATTGACGAGGTAAGAAAAAAATAAGTTTTATTTACTGTGGGTAAACTGCAAGTATATGGAACCCATTAAATAAGTTGAAAATGCGAAGAAGACATGAAAAAGAGATTTTTAAAGAGATTACGAAAAATTATTAATAAATACAATGGTTTTATAAATATTTAAAATTGAAAGTAAAAAATACTAAAAATTTAAAAGCCGTAAAATAAGGAAAAGTTATAATCTCTTCATCAGGTCAGGTAACGCGATTATATGAGCAAAAAAAATAAAAAATAAATAAATAAATATATATATATATATATATAAGAACTTGTTTTTTTCTTGGTGCTCTTCGCACTATTGACAGGTTTTATTATTGTTAGATTAATAAAATTTTAGAAATCTCTAGATCACTAATCTCATGTATCCTTGCCAGCTGATGACAAGATTATATCCATTCGTGGTTATTTTTCTAATCAAAATTAATTTTTAAATTGATTTTCTTAAAAATTCGTATAATATTATATTTTCTTATTTCTAATTTTTTTTAATTCCTTATTCTTTTTTTTTTCTACTTTTATTTCACATTATTGATCCTATGTACAGTGTAAAAAAATATGGACCACCCTGAATGAAATTTGATTTTATGATTCTTAAAATTCTGGGACTCAATCTTAATGGTTCTAGGGGGCAACCTCAAATATGCGAATTGATAAGTGCAGACGATATTTTAAGTTACGGAATCAGACACAAAAGCTTACTTTCTCTGAATAAACATATCTTTTTTTTGACGGATTTGAATTTCTGACCAAAATTTTTCTAATCAAAATTAAATTTTAAAGCTAGTTTANAAAAACAATAAGTTTCATTTATTGCGCATAAGCTGCAAGTAAACAGAACTCCTTAGATAAGCTCAAAATTCAAATAAAACAAAGAAAAATTATAGACATATGAAAAAAAGGGTGGGGGGAATAATAAATAAAAAAAATAACAAACAGTTAAAAAAAAGGGATGAAATTTTATTAAAAAAAACCGAGAAAAAAAAAGATATAATCTATTTATCAGCCCACATGATTATATCCCGCAAAAAAGAGTGCTTTCTGATATTGTATCAATATAGCCAAAGCAAAATATATTAATACAATAGTGTGAGGAGCACTCAAAAAATTTTTTGCAAAAATTACAATAAATAAAATAGAACACAATAAGTAAAAATAAGTAAAAATAACATGTAAAAACAGAAAATAAAATAAAAGGAAAAACAGTATAAAACATAGACTATAAAGCGAGTAGCGAAATCAGATGTACTTACATGGACGGGAAATTTTTCAAGAATGATTTAAAAACTTTTCGCAACATGATTACCAGATTACAAAATATGAAAACAAGAGTGCAAATTGAGTGTAACTAGAGGGTTTTAAAATGCCGTTCTTACTGCACTGCTGAAGTAATTTGTTATTGTGTTCATTGATTTGTTAGTTACCAAAGATGGGCCCGAAATGGATGTGCGCAAGGTAATATTATACTGGATAATTTAAAAAAGTTGACCATAAATAGTTTTAGAAAATAAATGTTTATTTAAGAAAAAATACAAAATAGAAAAGAGAAATATAAATTGCCTGTTTTGCAGATAATTTTAGCCGCAGATTTGCCCGAAATGGACTTGCACATGGAAAAATTATATAAATTATTTAAAAAAAATTAAAATAGCTAATTTTAACACGGATTTAACTGAAATGAATTTGCACATGGAAAAATTAACAAAGAAAAACATTTTAGTAGATAAGTTTAGTAGAAATTATTTACTAAATCATTTCTTTATAAATTTGTATAATTTTTCCATGTGCAAATACATTTCGTTCAAATCCGTGGTTAAAAATATTTACTAAAAAATCCCTTTACTAAATAATTTCCTTTGTTAATCTACATAATTGTTTTATGTGCAAATCCATTTCGGGTCAATCCGTGGCTAAAATTATCTACTGAAAATTTCTTTATTAATTTATACAATTTTTCCATGTGCAAATCCATATCGGGCAAATCCGTGGGTAAAATTATTTACTAAAAATTTCTTTATTGATTTATAAAATTTTTCCATGTGCAAATCCATTTCGGTCAAATCCGTGGCTAAAATTATCTACTAAAAATTTCTTTATTAATTTATACAATTTTTCCATGTGCAAATCCATTTCGGGTAAATCCGTTGCTAAAATTATCTACTAAAATTTTTTTCTTTGTTAATTTTTCCTTGTGCAAACCCATTTCGGTCAAATCCGTGCTAAAATTATTTATTAGAATTTTTTTTTTAATGATTTATATATTTTTTCCATGTGCAAACTTATTTCGGGCAAATCCGTTGCTAAAATTATCTGCAAAACAGGCAATTTATGTTTCTTTTTTCTATTTTGTATTTTTTCTTAAATAAGCATCTATTTTCTAAAACTATTTATGGTCAACTTTTTTAAATTATCCAGTATAATATTACCTTGCGCACATCCATTTCGGCCCCATCTTTGGTAACTAACAAATCAATGCACAGAATAACAAATCACTTCAGCAGTGCAGTAAGAACGGCACTTTAAAACCCTCTAGTTACACTCAATTTGCGTTTTGTTTTCATATTTTGTTATTCATATTTTGTTTTTGTTTTCATTATTAATCTGGCAATTATGTTGCGAAAACATTTTTAAATCATTCTTGAAAAATTTCTCGTCCATGTAAGTACATACATCTGATTTCGCTACTCGCTTTATAATCTATGTTTTATACTGTTTTTTATTTTACTTTATTTTCTGTTTTTACATGTTATTTTTACTTATTGTGTTCTATTTTATTTGTTGCAATTTTTGTAAGAAAATTTTTGGGTGTTCCTCACACTATTGTATTAATATATTTTGCTTTGGCTATATTGATACAATATCAGAAAGCAATATCAGAATATTTGCGGATATAATCATGTGGGCTTATGAAAAGATTAGATATATTTACTTCCCGGTTTTTAGAAATAAAATTTCCTCCTTTTTTTTTAACTGTTGTTTTTACTTATTATTTCCCCCCCCCTTTTCATTTGTCTATAATTTTTCTTTGTTTTATCTCCATTTATATATATATANTATATATATATATACATATATATACATATATATAGAGAGAGAGATGTGATAAATTTAATCTAATTCGTGTTTTAAAAAATTAATCCCATGATCCCATGGGTGTGTTCAACTTTTTCAAGATGTTCTATATATGAGCCTGTAGTTGCGATCTATATTTCCTGTAGTTTACCTTTGATTTCATACACATTTGATTTCAACAAACAAATGCGAAATACCTACCAGGAAACAGTTGTGATTTAACCACGTATATGCTGGGATTTACAAAAATATTTTTCTATGTAATTACCAGTCTTATGCAACAGAGTAAAGAAGCCCAACATATGAACGTATTGGCAACACTCTAGAACGTGTTCGTTGGTCATAAACATCTCTAGCTGTGATGGCAGCATAAAAGGGCTCATCTCAAAATGTAAGAACTCAAATACGCAATATAACGCAAGATGGAGAAGTTGAAGACGTAAGAATATAATTCGGTTACTCTATTCGTAAAGAAGTGTATAACTTAACGTACACAGGTGTTTAATAATACATCTAAGTGAATAAGCGATGGATGTTCTTTAGTAAAGTCCAAGTAAACACGTGATGACGTCAGATTTACTTCTATTTTTGTGTTTCCAATTGACTTCTTTAATTTTCATAGAATAACGTTTATCTGTATAACAAATGACGCAATTAAGCTCATCCAGTTAATTTTAAACCAGATGTTAAAATTAGCTATTTACGCTATATTTTAATCAGCTATTTACGTTATAGTTATTTACATATAGTTATTTACTTTATTTACATTATATATGCAGTAATCAGAGTATAGTAAGAGTATGAAAAGAATATAGTAGTATTTATTGAATTTGTATTTTTGAATTGCATGATCAACACTATGCAAGGAATTAATGTATATTTAACAAATAATTATAAATTTTTTAGCCTATTTGATGTAAAATCGTCGACAGAAAATAAAAAAATTAAACTATAATAATTAAAATTTCTCTTTCGTATTTCTACGAATTTTTTATTATTTTACTCTGATATGCAAGAGAAATAGATATTGTTACAAATATAAAGATGAAACAAACATAAAAGAAATCTCTTGATTTATTACCCATTTTAGGCAGGAAATCTTTAATTAAAGTGAACGAGTGAAGGGTTTCCCTTACCTTTGTACTTCGTAACAACAGTTTCAGGTTCTCGAAAAGATGCATTTGGTACATATCTAACTTTCAACGATTTAGTTCCAACTACATCGATAGAAACAGATGAAAGGGGATCGGGAATTTCTAAAAATTAAAATACATTATTTATTTCAAATTTAAATTATAGTAAAATTATACCGAGTTCTTAAAAATGAACATTACATAAAACAACTCAGAAGCATACAATTTAATCCTAACACACATTATTTTATGAGGGGCAAAAAACAAGCTTCCCTACTCTGTTTAGGCTAATTATAAAAATAAAATATTTCTTTTTATCCATATTTTGTAACTTGTTCATTATATTTCATAATTAATTAAGTTTTGTAGACTATATTTCAATTTTTCATAAATAATTAAAAGCTTTTAATTCCAAGTTCAGTTATTTTAGAACTAAAAAATTTGAGAAACCGAAATATTATCAAAATTAAAAAAATACCAAAAAGAAAACTCGTCTTCTAAATAGGCCATTATCTGCTACAAACAATAATTTCACAAGAAAAATTTTCTATTAAGAATTAGTTCAAATGACACAATGATAATGTTTTGTGTCAGAAAAATTAATGCTTCCAAGTTAACTAAAAACAAAGAATATATTTTCATAAAAAAATAGAAACAACATTGTGTGTGTATTTGGGTATGTATTTCAAAATCTACAGAAAATAATTTTAAATTTTAAAATGATTAGAACTAGTGTTTCATATTCATTATTTAATATTCAGAATTAAAATTAGTATCTTTTGAAATATCAGTTAAACAATATTGATTCATAATGTGCCCCTATTCCAACATTTTAATTTTCAGTAATATCGCATATTATTATCTAAAAAAAGTTAGCTTAAAAACTATGGTTAATAGTTTGGTCAGGAGAACCAAAGTTTGGACCTTTTAATGTTAAGTTCATTTTTTGCGTTTTTTGCCAAATCTTAATAATTTTTTAAGCCAATCGAAACATTTTTGCTCATATTTAGAAAATTCGTTTATTCAAAGATAATGCTATTTGAAAAAATAAATTTTAGTAAATATTTATTATTTTTCATTATTTTAAATAATAGTCGAAAATTTTTTAAAATGTAAGATATACAATTTTTTACTTCCATCTAAAGTATGTAATTTTATACGGCACAATACAAAATTTGAGCGAAATCAGTCGAATAGTTTCTGAGTAATCAAATTTCAAATATAGCGCATTTTGACAATTTGATTTCTCAGGATTTATTCAATCAATTTCATTCAAAGTTTGTATTTTGAAATTTAAAATTACATCCTTTAAAATGATGTAAAAAAATGTATGAAGCAGTAAAGAAAACGAACTATTTTCTTCTTTTACTATTCTTTTTTTCATTCTGCGCATTTTAATAGAGGTCGTTGTTTTGTTTTGTTTTAAGTGTTTCCCTTGCATTTAGTTTGTTTGTGAAATCGCTGTTTGACCGGTTTAATGTAAGTTTTTATTTTCTCAAGATTTTGTTTGAATTTCTTTTCTGATTTGGTTTTTTGCATTCCGTGTATTTTTTCCTGGACTTCTACGAAAACTTCGGGGTACTGAGAGAACTAAGTTTGGCATTTTTCCTCTCTCTCAATAGAAAAGGTTTTGTTTGCTTCCGAGGCCGGTACCCCCTGAAGACGTCGGCTTCGGTGGTCATATTTTTATTTCCTTCGTTTTCTTTATTGCTTCATTTATTCTTTTGAAAATTCTGCTGCTTTTAAGCGAGTTTCTTTCAAAAATAGTTTTGTCAATTTAGAATTAAATATTTTGTATTCTTTCACTAGTAAAAAATTTTACTTTCTCTGAATAAACACATCTTTTTTTCGACGGATTATGATTTTTAACTCCCAAAATATACTGGGAAGCAGTGATCTGGAAAAAATAGTCCCAGTAGTTTTGTCAAGAGTGGTCAAGAGTTTGGAACTCTGCTTTTTAAATTTCTATTTTCTGCGTATGACGCCACATCGGCGACAATTTTAAAAGCGAGTTTTGTTGAAAAGTTTTTGCACACAGATATAAAATTCGTTTATTCAGAGATATTTCCACGCAAAAATAATTTTTAATGATTATTTATTTAATTTTATTATTTAATTTTATTATTTTATTTAATAATAGTCAAGCTATTTTTTTAAGGGTAAGGTATACGGATTTCTACATCATTTTAAAGAAATTCGAAATACAAATTTTGAACAAAATTGGTCGAATAATTCCTGAGAATTCAGATTTTAAATATCTTACTTTTATAAAGCATATTTACCAGAATGCGGCTAACCTCTATATTTTGGAGATTGTGAATCAGAATTCATCGTAGAAAGATATGTTTATTCAGAGAAAGTACTTTTTTGTGTCTGATCCCGTAACTCAAAATATCCTCGGTATTAATCAATCAATCCTCCATATTAATCAAGCTTATTTGAGGACCTCCCCGAAAGACTGAGTTTAAGTTCTAGAGGATCCGATCATTAGAGCAAAAGTATAAAAGGTTTTCCCGTTTTTTTTTATATTTATTTTGTTTATTGGCGCGCTGTAAATACCTTAAATAATGCTAGATTTCTGTCTTAACAAGCCAGCCAAGACTTAAAGCCAAGACTTAAAGTTTTCGAATTTTGTGCTTTACGAGTACTTACCCAGCTGATCAAATCCGGTCTTCATTCTACTCAGCAGATCTTTTTTTCTTGACCAGTAGGACAACTGCTTTTCTTTTTCCTGAAAATAATATTGTTTCAGATTTCGCATAAAAAAAATCTGAAAATTTGTATAAATTTGTACGTAATTTTAAGAATTTTAAAATTTTAATTGAATATAGATTTTATTTAATCAGTTTCCAATCAATATTATAGTTATAATTTTTGATTAATATTTAATTATTATTTGATTAATTCAATTAATATTTAAATAAGTTAACTAATTTTTGAATTAAATAATCATCCAGTATCCTTCTCGCACGATCGTAGTCTTAATGTAAGCTTTACACTCTTTGAAAATTTTATTTTTTCGCCGAAATAAATTCACGAAATGTGTTTGTTTTATAAGAAATTATAGATTTAAAAAAAATTTAATGATGTACTATTAATATTTTTTGTTTAAAATACATAATTTTAAGGTATTTACTGATAAATACATTTCTATAAGTATTTCTTTCATACATAAATTTTTGTATTGCAAATTGATGCCAAATCTTGTGTCACAAGTTCATGCCAGCGTCTTTCTTTTAGAACATTTATACTTTCGAAACAAAGCTTTTCACCACCCAGAAAAAGTGATACAATATGAAACATTTCCCTTCACTGACGATATTCGTTTCTTTTTATCTCAAAAACTCACAAATTCATTCACAAATGAGAGATCATCCTCATTTTGGTCTCTTTAAATAATATTTTTATTGTATAATTTATGTAATGTGGAAGGAGCGAGCTTAAAAATATTCATATACTTAAGTTTGTAACGGCAGATTCAATATTTAATTGAATACAAATATAGCTAAATTTAAATTTTTTCATTCAATCTTTACAAAATAATTATGATGATTGCAATTATAATAAATACCTTTACTAAGGCTACTGACAAGCTGCCGTTTGCTGCAGCATTTAACACATATGACGTCAAATCTTCCACATATCTTTCTGATTCCTTCAGTAAGCTGATTAACTGATTGCGCTTACTTTCTTTTGTTCGAACTAAAAAAAAGAAGAAAAAAGTTCATTACTATTCCATTAAAATTATATTAATTATAGTAATGCAACAAAACTTGTTTCTTCATTCTAATTATATGTTGCATTGTTTATAATCTTCGAACTTGTATCAAGTTTTACAATTCAAAAAGGAGAAGAAAAAAACTTATCTGATTTACTTCACAATATGCACTTGAGAAAATCAATTTATTATGCAACGTTATTCAAAAATTGTGGATGATACTTATTAAAATTTGTGAAGGGCAGATATAGTCTGGTTGGTAAGGCGTTGGGCACACGTGCAAGAGGTCCTGAGGTAGATCGCAGCCGACCGAAGACTCCACGTGTAGTAAATGGTGACTGGTGCACATTAAATTTATCAGGTCATAATGTTCCTCATATTCCAATAACAAATTTTACCGCTGGGGGTAATAAATTAAAGACTGATAGTTCTTTGGCTCAGATCAAAATTACGATCTGTGGATGAATGAATGAAGTATGATTGGGTCCTCCCCATAAAACGGGCTGTGACATGTTTGTAGCTGAAGTCGTACTCTTGGGTTCGCCCCATAAACGGGTAGTAACGTGTGTGTGGCTGAAGTCGTATTCTTATCCAAAGATGGCGTCATTGAAAAGCAAGAAACGCACCAGCAGCTAAAAATTCGCTTGTTTTCACCGAACAGGCTTCCTGGTATTGGTAAGTGGCATTAGAAGCAACAACAACAAAACTTGTGAACTCTTTGAACGCATTATTTTTTGTATGACTTCAACTTTCTTTTTCTCAAATTTATATTTTGTCATTTGAAATCCTTATATTAGAGTAAATTAAAATTTTAAATTAATAAAATTAAATTAAAATTTTGCATAAAATAAAAACTTTTAAATGTGCAAAGCAAAAGGTTCCAAGTTCCATTAAAGCACGTTTTATCACTGCGCTAACTATGGGAATAAATTATAACAATTTAACACATTTTTTAAACTCAATTATGGAGCACTAACACAAAAATAAGTGTCTTACATTTTGTGGTTTCTCTTGCTCCATAAGCCTGAAGCAATTGCACCATTGATATGTCTAGAGTCATCACAGCAATGTCTAACGGAGTGAATCCATCTTTGTTTACACTAAAATTTAAACATTTAACACACATGTTTTTACATTTAACATTAACATTAATTACATACCATACCGAAACAACATTTTCATAATTTTATTATCTCATTTATACACAATGTTAGATTACAAGTAATATTCAGAAAGTAATAATAATAAAGTAATAATAATGATGTAATATTAATAAAGTAATAATTAGAAAGTAATGATAAGAAAGTAATAATAAGAAAAAAATAAAAAAAATTAATAATAAGAAAGTAGTAACAAGAAAGTACAAATAAGAAAAAAGGAATCAATAATAAATGTTTAAAAAACTACTTTTTTATTAACAATTGCCGTGGAATATACAACTTAGATAAGTGACAACTTAGTAAGTAGGTGTTTTAAAATCGAATAAAAAATTCCGAAAAAAATTTAGAGCTCTTCTTTATATGTTTTTTAATCAAAATTGTATGACTTTTAATCTAATAAGAAGTTGTTGATAAATTATCTTTGTTCCGTTATCTTTGTATCTGTTGATAATTTATAGACAAGAGTTAACGTCATATTGCTCAAAGAATGGCTGAAAAACTTATTTGCTTTTGATGTGTGTGTTCTTATATCTAAATATATCAAAAAATACCTTACTTCACAAAATATTTGTCTAAGAAACCTATAAGAATTTGGGAGGGACATCTCTGGCAAAAAGATTGTAGTCAAAACTGTCATTTGACAAGCAAATGGAAGTAAGAAGGAAACTTGACAGATCCAGAGAAGAATTAAGTCTAGACGACAAGACGACAAAAGTGAGTTTCAGAACAACAGAGCTATTTTGGCTTTTATGTCGTTGAAGATTCGTATCCTTGCGTCTTGATATTTGAATTGATTTACAAGCTCAAAAGTATAGTTGTTAATTTTTAGAAGGAGCATATTTATAGTGTTGACTGTCGAGGATTACATTTTTAATCCTCATTTATGGTTAAGTCCATTTTTCTTGAGGAATTTTTGAGAGAGTCAATTAAGTTTTTTTGCCTAATAATTTCAATCTCATCGGCAAATGCTAGTTTTTAGATTCTTCTCGTTCGCTAGTTTTTAGATTTCGTAGGAAAATTGCTTGTCGTGCTTTAGGTCTTCGTATTGATCAAATTGTTTCCACCTCTTAAAAACCTTTCAATTTTAGAGTAATTCTGGACCTCTGCAGTTCCTAAAAAGTGACTAAACCACTAACGAATTTACCACTTCTTAAATTTGTTTTATCTCCTCTACTGATCTATCGTACTTGTAGCACAATTAAAAGTGTCTACTGCACATGCTAAAATTTTAAAATTTCACTTGAAACAAAGCTCTAAATGTTCAGTTGGGAAAAATATTAAGCAATTCATTTAGAATGCTTACTCAGGGTTAATAAGACGTTTAGCCAATTTTATTACGTAAAAAATTTATTTTATTACTTTCCCTTTGAGCATTAGCGCTTGTATTTGTTTAATTTCAACATTTCTTTTCCTTCATTTTGTAACAATTTTTTCACGCTATCATAATTTGAATTTGAAAGACTCCAAATAGGAAAAACTTCGTTCAAATTTATTTTCTTCCTTTGTGCTTAAAGACACAACTTATTCTATTTTATGAAGTTTAAGAGTATAATATAAGATGAATTTCAATGTTGAATCTGTACACCTTTCTAGATTTTCTGTTTTCTGAAAACATAGATCTTAATTTTTGCACCTTTATTTTTTCATTTTCGAAAAAATTTGGTAAAACGTTAATTAGGATTTAGTTGAAGGTTACAAAGCATATCTAAAAATGGTATATTCTTTTGAAATTCTTTATAAAATATTTGTAATATAAATCATTTTAGCAATTAAAATATACTTGAAAAAATCATGTCAGATTTTAGCATTAACTTGTGTACCACCAAATTGAACAAAGGAACTTCCAATTTTTCTAGTCTAAAATTTAAATGTACTTTTAAAAAAATAAAATTAATTTCAAATATATTCTGAATTTTATAAAGTTTGCTACAAACTTAATGGCTAACATTAACTGAGTCATATCAACTATACTGCATTAGATTAATATAGAATTAGATTATTCTATGTCACTTCAATGCAAAGATTTACTTCTTTTCAAAATATATACAGTAAGGAATAAAATTTTTGTTGCATTTTCCTATTTTGATTTGTTCCATAACTACGCATATAAAATATGGGATGCTACATCGCTTAGTTTAAATTTTGTGAACACTTTTAACGCAACGAGATTTACTTTTTTCTAATCAATTGTGTTTGGTGCCATTAATACTCATTTTAGAGAATTAAGAAAAAAAATACTAATTATGGAGTATTTTAAAAGATTTAATTTATGAGAAAAGAGCTTCGACTGTTTGAAATTTTAAGGAATAAAAAAGTAAATAAATATATTGAAATGTATGAAAGATACGGTATACGGAGGAGAAATATAACAAGACAATATATTGACCACAGGAAAAGAAGAGGCAATTATAACTGACTAACTTTTGACGTAAGTGCCCGAGCTGATGTGAAAGTAAAGAAAATTAAATATCAAAAAATAATATTTTTAAAGTAGATCTTTTATGGTCTATATCTGTCTCTAAAGCTAACGTTTCCAATTAAAGTTCAAGTTTAGATTTATATCAATCCAATAAAATTTTGATAAGATAAAATGTACAGTTTACTCATTAGGAATGTCAATATCACAAGGTAAATATAAAATCAAGTTTCCAACAATTTTCTCCAAAAATACGCAATAAAAACAAATATAATTGTGAGCTATCTTTAAACATACGGCAAATCATTTGGGAAAAAATTAATCTTGATAAGAAAATCTTTATTATTGACAGAAATGTCAAAAAAATCTTACCTATTGACATTAACGTCTGTTGACGAAAGAAGAGATCGAACTCTTTCGAGATGCTGGTGTTCTACTGCAACAAATAAGGCTGCAAAAAAAAGAATATTTTTCCCCTTCTTTAGAAATATACTGCTATTTTTAAATCTCGGGGTTCAATTTTATTAAAATAGAAATGGTTGTTTGGCGATTTCTTTCAGATTGGAAAGCAAAACAAGAATCATCGGAAACAAAATCATGTTTTCTAGGTTTTTTTAAAAATTTTGTTACAGTTCAAATGAAAATAAATATTCGTGTCTTTTTCATTGAAAATTTTTTTTATTAGCCAAAAAATAAGAATCTCTCAAAGTTGCATTTTTTAGACATATTCATTTTGTATCCAATTACTGTTAATAGAAAATAAAAGTTTATATCTCTTTGATTAACCATTTTTTCCGTTTTGAATAGGAAAGAAAAGAATTATTATAACACTTATTTTTAGATACGTTTGTTTCATATCCATTTACTATTTAATAGACGATAAATGTTTGTGTCTTCTAAATGAATCTTTTCTTTTTCGAATAATCCAAAAAAAAAACAATAAGTATAAATAAGTACATACTTTAGGCATGTTTTTTTAAATTCGATCACTATTTCAATAAGGATAAATGTTGATTTATTTTGAAATAGCCAATAAAGCAGGAATCATTAAAAATGGCAACGTTTTGTTTAGATTATTTTTGTTTATTTAATTACTTAATAATTACATTTAATTCTTAAATATAGTTTCAAAAATTGTTTCTTAAAAAATAAATCTAACTAATTATTAAAACAATTACATTTCAGAGATGTATTGAATAATGTATTTAAATTTATGTAATGTATTTCATAAATATTCAACACTTAAATAATCTTCTAAAACTTAATCTTCAAACTGAAATTCGCGTTACAACTAATAGCTTTAGTAAATTGCTATAGCAACTAAGTATACGCACTTTTCAAGTGAGCAATTTTATCGAGCACTATACTATAAAGTAACTCAAATGCTAACTTTTAAAAGAAATAACTCAAACACTCTACTTTCAAAAGAAAGCAGCATTATTTTAAACTAATTTAAAAAATTATAATTTTTCTTTCGGTGAGGAAAGATTCAATTTGAAAATTCCTAAAGCTAATTATCCGAACTCTAGAGAACTTTTTACATCCAATTTAAAGTTTAATGTGAATGTGAACTTACTAATATAAAACTTAATGCCTTTTTAATTAGAACTTGGCTTTTCGATTATAATCTTGAAATTACTATGCGTGTTGAGGAAAAATAAATTAATTTTACGCAAAAAGTTGAAAGTAAAATATTAAAACAATTCCCATTTCCATATCTGGAATTAATATTGCATGCATTTTAAATTTATTCAAGTAATTCAAAATATATTTAAGATAATGAGGTTTAAATTGTGTAGGGAAAACGTTAGCAAATTAACTTCAAAAAATATTGTATAAATAAATATTAATTTAAAATTGCAATCATTTAATTTAAAAATTGCTTTAAGTTGCGGCATTTAATTGTAGATTAAGAAAATTGTTTTTAGACAGAAAATGCTTTTAAACACATTTTATAAGCAATATCTTATATAACAGACTGATTCTATACTTAATATAAATCTTGTAGAGTTCATTTAGTTGAATGTAGTAAGAAACTAATGTATGTACATTATTTGTAGACTTAGACAATTATTTATGAATAAAAAGCTTGATTTTAGCAAAATAAAATGAGTAAATTTTCCTTAAACAAAACTAATCTATTTTTTTTAATGTTTTATACTCAGCATTTATTCAGTTTTAATATAAAAATAATAAATCGGGGAAAATATTTTATTTTTAGAAGAATAATTGTAAAGAACTAACTAAACGAAATAATTATTACTTAAATAGAAGGAATTTGCTGACTATTATTCTTACTTATCTAATAATTTAATTTACATATTTAAGTTCATTCTCAAATTTTGCATTCTAAGTCTCTCTGGATTTAATTATGAAAGGAAGATAAAAATATAATAAAACGAAAAGAAAATTTGAAAAAATTTGCTACGTAAGCTGTTTAGAAACGTATCAAAGTTTTTAATTAAAAAACATATTTTAAATTTCCCTATAACAGCTTTCAATTTCTAGGTGGTTGAATTACTTTTTTTGCATAATCGACTTAATACATAAATGTGTAAATTAAATAATATTACCTTGCAAATCAATATTGACCTTGTTCAATTTTTCTAATCTTTTCCTTTCTGTTTTACTAAGAGGTAGGCCATCTAGCAAGACTTCTGGAGTTTCTAAGTCTTGTCCTAATTAAAAGAATGAGTTTGAATTCAATATTTTATCTCTATTACAATTATATATCTTTGAAAGTCTGTTTGTTTATTATTTCAAGTCCATTTATAAGTTATTTCGCATGTTTAAAACTTATTCGCAAATCATTGCAAAGATTTCTAGATAATTTTGAAACTTATGTCGCAGTTCATATTTTCTTTCTGTTTGAACAACAGAAAAATGTATTTGTTCAGCAGAAAAAAGAATTTTACTCTTTTTGCAGTTTAAGAATTTATAAGGAAGTTAACGAATTATAAATAACTAGTGGGCTGCTCCTCCTGCTCACTAACGCTCGCCAACCACCGAAAATTGCCACGCAATCTTATATAGTTTGCTTCGCAAACCAAGCTCGCTTCGCTCGCTACTAACTTAGGTGCATTGCAAATGCACAAAATTCTAAGAATTCAAAACAATCATTCAAACCCATATAACGACTTCTTTTTTTAAAAAAAAATTAGTATTATAGGAAAACGTTTCTCTACGTAACATAAAATCATAATGGTCTGACACCATTTTCCATTGTTGTCGGCGCATTTTAATTGGCCGGAAAATCATGTGGTAGGATCCAGTTTCCCCCCATTCATTTTTATATTGTTTAGGTTGTCATCAGCAGATCACACTTAGTGGGAATGCTCTCTCTGGTTATTTCAGTTTCCGATTTTAAAAGCTTTACATGTTGAGCCACCTCAGCTAGATTTGGCGTGTGACATTTTTAGTGGCAGTCATTGGTCGATTTTGTAGCGTTGTAATGAGGCTTTTTTCGTCGCCGTGTAAGAGAAATATATATATATATATATATACAGGGTGGTCCTGAAATATATGTCAAAAATGTAAAGGTAGGTAGAGGGGACTTAAATAAGTATATTCCGTATAGGATTGCGTGTGCGGTAATGCCGCCTTGAGCCGGTAAGGAGCGCTGATGACTGCGACGTACAAAAGCGCTTGCTAGCTGGATTCCCGCACGGATCTCAAACAGCATGCATCGTTTCCCCAATGTGGAGCCGGCAGACGTGCATTTCATGTATGGGGCTGCACAAGGAAATGAATTAGCTGCTTAGAGGATGTACAGGGAGAATCCGAAATTATCTGTACGCTGTCTACGGCCAGCATTGGATAAGACGGGGTAGTCCAGTTCCCTGGCCACCGCGTTCTCCTGATTTAACCTGCTTGGATTTTTTCTTTTGGGGTCATATTAAAAGCCTGGTGTACGAGAGTCCCATCAAGAAGATCTTGTTGCCTGCTTATCTGTTGCTGCTTTACATGTGCTCGACATGCCTAACGTCTTTTCTAATGTACGCCGATCCATGCACCGTCGCTGTGAATCTTGTCTCGATGTTGGTGGCTGCTCTTTCAAGCACCTCTTGCAAACTGTTGATAAATTTTTATTTTCCTTTGTCTTTACTTGTGTTTTCAGTTTCCTCTGATTCATACTGCTAAAAGTATCAGCACAGCAGAAGAAACCCAAAATCATTAACACGAAATAACAAACTGAATAACAAAGCACTTCTGGAAATAGCAATGTGAACGTATGCTAGAAGTAGTTAACAATCCACAGTTAATAGAATAAACTACTTTTGTCCGTAAAAATTGCAGATCAAATTACGGTAGAAAGTACTGATACCTTGGGTGCAGCATTCGTAAAATTTATTTTTCCTGTTAATATTTATACTTTAATTTTCACTGCAATATTCATTTAATTACAGTAATTCAGTGATTTTACCGTGTACATTGCTGTAAAAAATAACTGTATATCAGATTTTTTTTTCCGTAAAACTTTACGGCAGAAACGGATTCTGTTATAAAAAGTACTGACACCTAGAGCGCTGGTAGTTTTTACCTTAATTTCATCTGAAAATTTTCACAGTGTACTGGTAATCCAGGAGTTTTTATGAAGTAATTTTTAGAATAAGCATATAGCTATATGCATACACTGAATTACAATATTATAAAATTATTACAATCACTACTTAATACTGAAGTATACATTAATACGAACCATATAATCCTTTGGTTAACTTGTTTGGCACACTGGGGGACGATGGTAGATCGCCTCGCCGATGTGCCTCGAGCTTTGCGGGTACACTGGGAGAAGTAGGAATTGTTCTGCCATCCGTAGGGACAGTCAGACTACCAGTTGGCGATAAATTGGTCGGAGAGAGATTAGTTGATGAGCAAGAAGGTACCAGGCATGCCATGGAACTACAATTCGAAATATCTGAAGCATCTATAGAATACAGGTTTGTTCCCATCAAACTGTCCACACTACCCGATCGTCGCAAAGGAGTAACTTCTCTAAAAAAAGATTTTTATCAGACAGCATTTTAATAAAATTGTGATCCATTTATAAAGGAAACTTAAAACGCATTTTTATTAAAAGATAGGAAACCTTCCTTAATTCCCTTTAGTGTTAAACCTGTGCTGTAGATACAGTTTTAATTGCACCAGGGCTGTTTTTTTTTGACTGGGCTAGATATTGATCTTTAACTGATACAGCGTTAAGAACGTAGAATGCGAGACCACAAAATCTAGCATGAAAACTCCACGAACGGAGAACTCTCCACCCGTCGACTAGAACAAAAACGTAATGAATGGAGTATACTAGAAAATAGCGTATAATTAAAATTAGCAGATTGTAGCTAGTAAATGCTTGCTTCTTGCTTGAAAGCATGGACACTTTTAGTTCATTTTCTTAAGGTGAGTGAAAGGGAGGTTAATTGTATTTGTGTTTATGCGCGGCAGAAGGATAAATTTAATTTTGTGAAGAATCATTTAAAACGCACGTTCGCAAAATCAACTTTCAATGGTAGGTAAGAAAACAACGAAATCATCTTGTTTCTTCAAGATGCTATTTCATTGCTTAATATTTCATTGCTGTAATTATTAAAAAACCAGCAAGCATACCAAGTATCATTAACTAATGTCTATCAACCAAGAGATCAGCTTTAGATCAGACTGTTGCTGGTGAAAAAGGGGGGCTGATCTCGTGAGAGCCCAGACAGTATACGCTGATTAAAAATGTGTTTCATATGGCTTTATTACGTATTCAATCCAGAAAATTTAACAGCTCACTGCATCACAAAGGAGCAGAAAAATAACAAAGAAACAATTCAACAATTTATGTAAAGTGAACGAAAAAGAACAATAAACATTTGGATCAATAAACATTTCAACAATATAAAACTTTAAACATTAACATGAAAAAGGTAAAGTTAGTGACAATTCATGAGAGTTCTTGCATCCCAATACAATTTAGTGACATTCCCACTTTTCTGGGAGATCCTATCTAGTCCCTTGCACTACAAGAGGCGATCAGAGTTTAATACACCTGTGTCACAAATTGGGCATGCTTTGCTGGGAAGAATTTTTATGTTATATAAATGTTCTGATAAGCAATCGTGGCCTGTTTTAAGCCTAAAATGGGTTTCCTTACGGGGTTGAAATTAAAAATGATTTTCAGTATTTTAGCAATGTAATTATGTGTTTACTTACATATTAGGAATTATAGATGGGAACTGCTGCACTGTTTTGTTGGTGGAGGATTTTTCTTTCGAAGTCAGGCGTTTTGCTAATCTTGCTAATCCTGCTTTCGTGATTTCATACCTACAAATAACACACTCCATGGAAGCCATTTATGTTTTTTTAAATGCATTAATACTTCATTAAACATTTAAAAAAGAACAATAAATTCATTTTTATTAGCTTCTTTTTTGCAACATGCAAAAAACAAACACAGTGGCAATATACATTGGCATTTAATGGAACAATACTATCCTCATTTAACAGTAAAATTTGGAAGTTGTTTAAATTTAAACTTTTGGAATAAATAATACTTTTGTTTTGAAGATTCTTTTCCTGCTGATTGCGTTGATGTACTGGAAGTTACAGAAGTAACACTCGCTCGAGGAGAACCCAAAGGAGATTTGGCTGGTTCAAAATCTGGATCCAGGTAATCATCTGCAAAAAAAGCAATTCAACGTAACGACTCAAAATTCATATAAAAACAAATTATTACGGCTTTCAAATGAAAAAATGATACTATCCAAAATTATGTATCATCTTTCGTTTCTAAATCTTAAAACCATAAAAACTGCCCAGTCAATTTTAAATTATAGTAAACATTGTCTGAAGATAAATTCTGTCTTAAAGAAAAATGTGTAATATCTCAGCATCATATATTGAAAATAATTATTTCAATTTGCATAAGACGGAATTTACGAAATGCAAAAACAGATATTTGAAACTGCAATTATTTTAACTATAATAAATTTTTAACTGGATGAAAATTATTTTTCCATGAATTTGTACTTCGCAATGTAGTAAATATACGTTGCATATGCTTAATTCACAAAAATACTTACTATATATTTTGAAGTTTACGAACCTAATAGTATATGGTAATTTTTTGAGAAGAAAAAAGAAATGGGTCTGTTTTGAAAGACACATTTCCCTTCTGAGACCTCTCCTAACCGAACTATTGGGACCATATTTTCCAGATTGCGGCTACCTCCTACATTTTGGGGGTATGAAATCCGAATCCAGCGAAAACAGTTTGTGTGTTTATTCAGATAAAGTACGTTTCTGTGTCAGATATCGTAACTTCAAATATCGTCTGCACTTAGCATATTTGACATCACCCCTTCGAACCATTAAGATTGAGTCCTAAAACGTGAATATCCTACCATTAGATCAAAATTTATTCAGGGTGAACCACTTTTTTTTTCTTTTTCCGCACACCATACTTTAAATTTGTATGTTTGATTTCAATTTATTAACTTCAGAAGAGATACTTCATTCATTACAAACAAATTTATACATTCATGCAAAGCGTTTCTATAATCATCGTCTTTCGTAGATATTTACGCTTTTTGACAAATAAAATTTAAAAAAATACCTATTAGAGATCGTAAGTGAAGATTTAAGCAATTTAAAATCAAACATGTTACTAAGTGATGAGATACCGATAAAAAAGGCGAGATTAAAATAATAAAAACCCATGGGATTTCCGGATGAAACTTAGAGGTGTTTATAGGAATTATCGTTCGGTTTTTATTCATCTATCAAAACTTATTTCAGCACCTTCGTCGTTAATAAGTCGTTAAGAATTTGTTATGGTTTTTCCTTTTTTATTTCCCTTTGTCTAAATTCATGATTTGAAATTATGAAATTTAATAAAGAGCTTTGCGGAAGAATTTATGTGTGAAATTTTTTCTGATACAAAATCTGAAAATACTTACGCTCTCTGTCAAACTCTAGGGTTTTTGGTTGTTTTGCGGATGAACCAGAAAAATGACGCCTGGGTTTACCTTCTGCGCGTCCGTGAATATCTTGACTAGTATCTGAATGAAAGAAAAGTAACAAAAAAGAGGTTTTAAAATGAATATCATGTTTTGCAAAAACACATGGTTTATAACATAAAATTAAAAAAACTGGAATTTTAAATATATTTTTGAGTTAAGTGGGAAAGATTGGACACTTCACATCCAAAATATTCTTCTTTTTAATAATTGATCACTATGAAATATGAAACACACATTCTAAGGACTAATTTAAGTAATTTTCAAGCATTTAGTCGTGTAGTTACAGGATTAATGAAACTATTAAAAAAATAATCATAATTAAAAGAAAACACTAAAGGTTTTGTTGTGCAATGAAATCATTATTTCTACGTTTTCTGAAAAATACCAACAATACAAAAGTATAAACGGCATAAAATTATACTATAACATTGTGCAAAAGTATAAACGGCATATAATATTTTTATAATATTTTATAATATTTTTACTAGCTGAACCTCTTTTTGAAATACCACGTTAGAATGAAATCAATAAAAAAGACACTTTCTCATTTAAGAAGTATTTCGAAGCATGTTGTTGTGTGCATTAAGCTTAGACAAGCCTACCAAAAAATCTAAACTCGCTGTTCCACAGGATTTTTTTTTTATCACGAAGCTGTAAAATGTAACATCTAGCAACTTTCACTAGCTACAAAAGAACCCATATACGTTGAACGAGTTAAGAAAAAATATATAGTTTAGTGGAACGAATAGCTACTGTAATAATCCGATCCTAAAGGTACTGTGTTCTCTTAATGCTTCATTTAGTCGCTATAGCAAAATAAGATTTCATGATATTAGAGGAACTCACGCGAATCTTTCTCACTAAATGTTGAGTTCATGTCAGCGAGAGGAAGTAACACCTTCATATGTGTCATTAATATGTTCTCGAGCTTTCTCGTTTAATTCGTGATAGGGGAAACAGTGAACTACTCAGATTAAAAACTGGAACTGTGGAAATAATTTATTTCAGTTATTCTACTTATTTATTAGTTTTGCTCTTTCCTTGGATTGGATGTGTTATATTTCAGATTCTAGAATGGTTATGGTAAGTTATAAATTGACCTATCGACTAAATAATACTGAATTTGGTTCATAAGTTTCAAGTTAGCATTTGTGTAGATGTTTTAAGAGGAATTTATTCAGTAAGAATTAATAAATATTCGCTTATGTCATATATGTGGTTAAGTTTACTGTGATAAAGAAAGTATCTGGCATTGATTTATTGGTAATTCGTATTGATTCATTTCTATTATAAATATCAACTGCAAACTTTAAACAAACAGTCTTACAACTTCTATAAACATTTGGGAATAATCAGGAACGTATTTATTTTTATCCTCTAAAAATAAGTCAATTTTAAAAAGGAAAGAGCTTTCATTCCGTTGATTTTCCGAAACGCTTTGGTAATGAATTTGGTAAAATTAAGAATAAAACATTGTTTTATAATATTTGATAAAATTTGGTGAATGCGGTTATAATTTTATCATGATCCCTTGGAGCATGGCTTATAAATAATTTAGTCGGTAAAATTTATCGTATTTTTTACTTAATCTGTGGTATTATATGAACTACTGTTTTGAAAAATAAAATTCTCAGCAAACCGGTACCATATGAACTGCAAAATTACCAAAATATATGAAATACCTTATGTTTTGTTCTTAATGGGTTTTTTTAATTTTTTTTACCAGAAATGTTAATACCATACTGTACGCTAATTTTATTAGAATTATTTTCTCCATATAATAGTTTACTCTGTCAGATTTTTATTCGAATATCCGGCCCAGAAAAAAGACAATATAGAAATAATAGAATAGAAATCTGAATAACAGAAAGTAGAAAATGATTTTGATTTCAATTCACGGTGGGAAATCTCAAAGAATATGTAAGGAAAGTAGGACTGGTTGCGCCATCTCTTAGCAATATTAAGAAATACAAAAATAATCGCTGGATTTAAGGAGACGTGTACGTAAAGATGAATTCAATTTTAATGATGCAATTATTCTCTTCGGTTCATGGCACGCGTCACCAAACATACGGGAGCAAAAACGCTAAACATATGAGATGCGACGCTGACAGAGAATGGGTTAAAAAATGTTTCATATACAGACAAGCCAGAAAGCATAGTTAAATGCGAAATCCTAAACACGGTTCAAAAAGAAAGAACCCAAATCATTCCTGAGCTCGTTTATTGATATCATAAGCACTAGCAAAAATAGATATTATCCCTTTGGATTTTTTTAAATGATCGTATTATTTAGGAGTCTTGTTATACTCACTATTTATGAAGTTATTGAAGCATTTTTAATTGAAAAATGCATAACTTAATAAGTTTTAGTTATAGCACACAATCTGAAGAAATTTTTACCTCTTGTGACATCTGCTTCCAGTTGTGCTTGTATAATATTGAGACTAGGGCATATTATGGCAGGTAAAGTTCTTGCTCTTAATAATGGTGGTTTCTTTTTGCTCGGGGCTTTATCAAGGTGACTACGCCTAAAGAATAAAATTAAAATCTGTTAAAATTAGTGTTTGTTTCAATATATATCAAAGCCATAGAGATTAATACATTATAAAAATTTTTTAAGAAAATACTGATATGAATCAGGAACAATTGAGGCTGCTTCTCGAAGGGTTCGTCATATTATGAAATGGTACTTTTTGCGAATAATATGCTATTCTTATAGCTGCTTTGAGCTTGCAACTGTTACTCATGATTGTTAGGTCAAGTTTAATCTAAGGCCAACGTTTTCTATACTTACTTTGAAAAGGGTGAAAAACGTCAATACGGAGAAAAGAAACAGTTTTGTGAAAATGAAAAGAGTTTGTGGTTGATTTTTTAATATTTAAGAACCTACTCCAATAGTGCATTACTTGGGCTCATAAAAATTTGCAAAAACGGAGAATAAGGCAGTGATTTGGATAATTCTCATCTAAGTGAAAAAAATGCAGCAAATTGTCTGTTCAAAAGCATAGATAATTCTTCACGGTAAGATTAGATTATGTATGTAATTCAAAATTTGTTTAACAATCATAAAAGTTGGTTGAGCTTTCATATACAACTTAAAGGTTGCGCTAAAGCTTAAAATACTGAAAATTCAAAAAGTTTGCACCAATGTCACTCGTCTATACACCATACATTAAATATATTCGTTTCCAAAATCTCTAATATCGCCGCCTTTTTATTTCATCTGTAAATGTTTACAATGGATAACGAGTTGGCCAGTGTTTACGGTTATCTCAAATTAATGTTTTTCAACTGCAGAAACTGAAGTTCGTCCTTAAAAATATGTATGTATAATTTTAGTTGCATAATAAAGATATTTGTATTTTGATTTTCAAGTCTTTCTCTGTAAACAGAATTAAATAATTTTTTCATGTATAATTTCTATCGACTCCTGCTCTGTTAAGCCTAGTTCAAATCGGTCTTTTTAATTTCTCTGTTACGCGCATGTGTTATTTAATAACATTGAGTTAATCACTTATTTTAAGAATTAGTGCATTTATGCAACCAAAATTAATTATTCTTACTTTATATTGTCTCATAAAAATAACTTATCTGCCTCTTATGTGCATCATATATTACTTTAATTATACATTTTAGTGTTACTAAATAACAAACATGCCTGGTTGGTGGCGCCTATTTGACACCAAATAGTGTAAAAGAGCATTCTAAGTGTTTCACAGCCCCAGGAATAATCCTTGGATTTCTGTGCAGTGGAAAATAACTTTGGTGCAAAGTAGTTGTCACTATTTTTAGTGTTCAGATACACGAATTTTTTTTACATTGTAGAGATGCAGATTGAAACTGAAAGAAAACATGTTATGGTGAGAGTACCATGTTCAAAAACACGTTAACTGAAAAAGGGATCAATCCAAGGAATTACAAGACAACACTGAAATATTCAGGGCAGAATTCAAGAGCGGAATTCAAGGCAGAATTCAAGAGCAGAATTCAGAGCAGAATTTATAATTAGGGAGAGAAAAAACTCAGTTTTACTAAAAAATACTGCGATTTGTTTTGCTGTTCTATTGAAAAAAATTATTTTAAATTCTCTGTTTATGTTTTCTTTTTTTTTTCTTCGTTAGCAGTTTTGTTTTATTTCAATCCATTTTTAACCTTTTTATTCCTCTTTTTAAAAGTAATAATAAACACTTTTTTCCCCTTGCGTTTCTTTTTTAAAACATCTTTTTTTTAACATAATAAGGAAAAAAAATTATTTTTAAATTTAGAATTAAAATTTTAAAAGGCTAAAATGTATATTTAAAAAATTAATGTCGCATTAAAACTGATAATAAAAGAGAAGGTAATTCTGGAAGTGTGTCACTCATGTTAATTAAAATAGTTTACTTAGTTTGTTAGTTCAAATCTACGAGAATATGGTTTGCGCATTTTTTGCTCTATGGGAACATATAGAACTAAAGAATGTTTACCTAAAAACTTTGCTAATGGTTTTGACAAAATTTATTATAAATTATGATTTTATAGTGATAAAATTTGGTAAAAGTGGTAAAATTTGGTAATTTTATTATGACCCTGGTATAAAAAAAACTTTTATTCGTTTAGATTTACTTTTCAGTTTCGTACTTTTTGCTAAATGTGTAGTCATAAAAACTGTAATTTTGAAAACCATAATTTCCGATGAACCATTATCTTTAAAATGATATGAATGGAAATTAACAATTGAATGGATTCAATATTTTATCCATTCTTTATTTTTATAACTAGAATTATTGTTTACCAGAAATGACATTACTATACAGTACGGTAAATTTAATGGAATATTTTTCTTTATGTACAATGCACCAAAAAAACGGACCACCCTGAATAGCTTTTTATTTAACGATAGGATCTTCACGTTCAAGGACTCAACCATAATAGTTCGAGGGATAGACCATAAATATGCTAATTAATAATTGCAGACGATATTTTTATTTACGAAATCAGACACAAAAACGTACTTTATCTGAACAAACTTACCTTTTTTTTCGACGGATTTAGATTTCTGACCCCAAAATATAAGGGGTACCCGTAATCTGAGAAATATGGTCACCTTACTTTGATCCGGAGATTTCTCCAAAGTTTGGACCCTTTAATGTTAATTTTAATTTTTGAATATTTTGGTGAATCTCGAGAGCTTTTTAAGCGAATTAAAAAATTTTGGCACTCAGTTACAAAATTGGATTAGCCACAAATAATTTCATGTAAAAATGACTTATAGTAAATATTTATTAATTTGCATTGTTTTCTGTAAATACCTGATATTACTGAATTATACTCGAAAAAAATTTGAGTTGTAAGGTATGCAATTTTTTACATCACTTTTAAGAATATAATTTTGCATGATAAAATGTGCAAACTTTGAGCGAAATTGGTGGAAATTTTCCTGAAAATTTCAATTTTCAAAAAAGTTAGATTTTTAAAGGTATGATCATGGTCAGATTAGGTGTGTTTATTCTGGGATAGTATGTTTTTGTGATTGATGTCGTAACTTGAAATTTCGTTTTCACTTATTAATTATAATATTTGAGGTCACCCCCTCGAGTCATTACGATTGAGCTCCAGAACGTGAAGATCCAATTATTTAATCAAAAGTTATTCAGGGTGGACCATTTTTTATTCTGCGTTCTGTACGTTAAAATACGTAAAACTGAGAAACTGTATTGAAAAAAAACAACATATTTCAATGAAAATAGAAAATATGAAGAACTGTACACATGACGAATAGATTAAAAGCTTTTCAATAAAATTTGCTTCAATCAGAATCAGTAACCCAAGATACGATGCATTGAATGCAAAAATACATTTATTATTATAAAACTTATTAATAATTTATATAGGTTTAAAATTTGATAAAAATTAATTCACATTTAAAAAAAAAATGATTAATAATGAAAAAGAACTTGTACAAAAAGATGCAGAGAAAGTTAAAACTTGTTTAAATTCTATTATCTTAACAATATTGCATTCAAATTAGTATAACTATTACACAAAACTTTATATTAAAAAATCGTATTTTTTATATAGCTATGTAATTAATTTTAATGATCTTTTCAAAATTCGTCTTTGGTCGTAACTTTTGATCAAAACTGCCTCAGATTTCGAATAACTTAATGAAAAAATAATGAAGAAATGGTTCTAAAATAATGAAAAAATGATTTTATATATATTTCGGAAAGGTAAATGAATAAACTATTTAATTGGAATTGCTTTAAATGCTTTGAATTGCATTTTTGCAAATAGAATTTATTTAAATAAATCAATAATACGAGAGCAATTTCGATTGCATATAAAGCCAAATGTTTTCCACAGCGTGAAATTCATCATATTTATTAGTTTATATATTTCATGTTATAAAAAATAAATCTTTTTTGGAATATTTCACAAACATTTTTTTTTCAGAATAGAGAATAAAATACTGGAGACAAGTTGTTTCGAAATTTAATCAAATAATGCTGGAACTTAATTTAATTAAGTGTCATAAAAATCTCGTTTTTTCTACTTTAATTAAGAAAGAAATCGTATTTATATGGAAAAAAAAACTTTGTATGCTTTATTTACGCTCTAGGCTTGGACTTCGCTAGGACAATTTATTCTTTATAACATCTCATGAAATTCCCCTCCTAAAGTACACTAAAAAAATTCTGGTTAAAAAATACCAGCACAGAGGCTGCTAGTACTTTTTACCATAAAATCCATTTCACCACAAAGTTTTAAGGAACAAAAAATCTGATATACCGTAATTTTTATTGTATCACTGAATTACTGTAATTAAAAAAACATTACTGTAAAAATTATAGTAAAATATACCGGCACTCGGGGTGTCAGTACACTCATAAAGTCAGTAGTAAATATTACGGAACAAAAAATCTGATATACCGTAATTTTTATTGTATCACTGAATTACTGTAATTGAAAAAATATTACTGTAAAAATTACAGTAAAATATACCGGCACTCGGGATGTCAGTACTCTCATAAAGTCAGTAGTAAATATTACGGAACAAAAAATCTGACATACCGTAACTTTTGCAGTAATATTTGCTGTAAAATCACTGAATAATTGCAATTCAACGAACATTACTGTAAAAATAATGAAATAAAATTTTACGCTATTAATAGATTTTACGGATACTGCATTTTTAGTACTTTTAGTTCCAGAATTTTTTTACCATAATTTGATCTAGAATTTCTTATAGTGTACTAGTCAAACTTAAATTTTTAATTGCCTCTATTTAAATGAGAAACGTAAATAATTTTAAATATAAGCTAACGTGGCATACAGAAATTTTTGGTACCCAAATCCATAAAAGAATAAGGAAAATAAAAAAATTTAACCAGATTTTTACTAAAAAAAAAGCTGATATTAGTTTAATGATAGAAATTTTTTCAATAGTTCCAATGTTAACCACAAAACATGGAAACAAATTGAAATACTTAAAATATCAGAAAATTAAGACAGCAAAAATGTTGCAAATACTTTCAACAACTATTCGTATTTGAATCATCTTTCGTTACTACTTAAATGTCATGTACCAATTTTATGCTCACAATTAAACTGTACAGGGAGGTGTTAATTTACAGAAATTCTGAGCAAGTTGTCAAGTATTTCAGTCTTTAACACGTTTCTGCAAACTGTTTTAAGTCCTTACCACATTCTGAAAGTTACAGGCAAAATAATATACAACGGGAAAACAATCATCAATGTCCCTTGTCCTATATATATAAGCAGCATTATTGAAAAAAAGTGTTGAAAAGGGTCTTTTATGCTAAACTTATATATAGTCTTAAAAGTAGTACTTAAAAAAATTATTTGCTATAAATTATTACCTTAAGATGCATCATTTATTTAATTGATTCCATCTCCTTTTTTAGATTATTTTTACAATAGAGATATTTTTAAAATAAGAAACTTAAAAAGCATTTAATAAATTTAAGTAATTGCTTTCATATGTGGGTATTTGTTTTCTATCAAATCAGTTATTTCGATAATTGTTATTTTTTTATTTCAAATCCTTTTTTTTAAATTTTTTTCTGCCTTTTTACTTTCCAAATAGAATTGCATACCGAACAACAACCGAATTGTTATTTTATGAATATAGTAATTATGTCTATCGAAAATCTATAGCAAAAAGTTTTTCGCAATATTTTGTCATTATCGTTCATACAATTTTACAATGTGCATGTGTTTACGGATCTAAATGAAAAAATAAATTATTGATAGAGATTCGCCCATTTTTCGATACGATGCTAATTACTTAGTTTGAATATTTTTAGAGAATTTTTTATTTATTTTTATTTTCTCATATCGCAAACATTGGTATATTGTTTCTTTTTGATCATTTTTTCTTCTTCCTTAAATGCATAAATAAGAGAATAAAGCTTTTTTTTTTGATAAAAAGTACAAAGTATTTTACATGAAAAATAAAGAATATAAAGCTTTATGATTTCAAGAGAGAATCGCCTAACTAAAAAAGCAAGTTTATTTGAAAAACTTGTAACTTGTTTTTGTAAAAAAAACAAGTTACAAGTTATGAAATTTACCGTGTTTCTGACTCTATGAGAACAACAAATAATTGTGTTTCTTACTAAATGTGTGGTAATAAGTACTATAATTTCGAAAATTAGAATTTCCGTCAGACTGTAACCATATGAACAGAAAAATTAATAAATGAATTGTTTAAATACCGTATAGTTTGGTTTTAATAACCAGAATTATATTTTTCCTAGAAATGTAATTACTACATTGCGGTAATTTTACAAGAATATTTTTTCCGTGCAGTTACAACGGGATCATTTTTAACTTCTACAAAATCTCTTTATTTTGTTTATTTAGGTTCTCACAAGCACGAGAACACATTCTTGACTTACGATGCGCATGCGTAGTTACTTCAAACCTTACACAAAGTATGGAATGATATGTAAAATAGCGAAATCTCCTTATTGGTATTTTTTCCAATTTTCATAATCAGCGATGCACTTTGAAAATAAGCATGGTCAAAACTGCCAGGATATGGTACAATTTGCGTGTTTCTAGCTCTATGGAAACGTCAAAATGCTTGGTAATTTTTACCGAAGAGCTTAAGTAATGATGTTTTTAAAATTAACAATAAAATATGGTTTTATAATGTGTGATAAAATTTCGTCAACTGGTTTAATTTGTTGATTTTATCATGACTTAAAAGTCATTATATCATGGCTTATCCATTATTTAGTTTAAATATACTTCTCTGTCTCATACTATTTTTACTAAATATATGGTAAAAAAGACTAGAATTTTGAAAACCGGAATTTCCGGTAAACTGTTATTATATAAACAGAAAAAATACAAAATTCATGGCTTATATACTATAGAATTTAGTTTCATTAACTAGAATTATGGCTTTTTTTTACCAGAAATTTTATTACCAATTATATAATAATTTTACCAGAATTGATTTCTTCTGTTTCACAGAGAAAAATCTTCTAATAAAGCTTTTTGATTTAAAATTTTACATAAATTTCATTAAGAAATATATTTTGACAAATAATTAGTTTTTATAATTAGTTTTACAAATTGCACGAAAGATATTTTTTTATTTTTAGAAATGAGTGCTAACAATTTTACTGCACACTATGTTAAATATTTGTGAACAAGCAAAAACAAAAATTTGCCACGTATTATCTTTAACTCATTTTTGAAAGGAGTATTCGAGAAAGTTCAAAATCAATATTCGATTTGTTATGAATTCAGATATTTCACAAGAAAACTTTATTCATTAATCACAGATAATACTTAATGTAGCCAAAATGCATTTTCCACGTAAACAAATGCTGTTTTAAACTTAATGAGTTCTGGAAATTTAAGACAATTCATTAATTTACTCTTTAAAGGTTCTGTTTCTGTATCTCTTAATTTCAAGAAAATTTGGCTTATTTACAATGTTCATAAAATTCTTTATTATATATAATTAAAATTAATAATTCTTAATTGCATGTTAAAAAATTTCTAATTAGTAATAAATCTTTGAAATTATTTGAAATGTTTGAAAAATCCGTCGAAAGGTGTTTTTTTGTGTAAGGCGCAAATGAAACTTAATTGATTAAAAAAAACATTAAAGAAACTATATTTATTATTCATCTAGTTAATCGATTGTCTTGCGTTTGGTGGAGAACAAATTATTATAAAATAAACTTCTTTTTGTTTAAAACTATATATTATATAAAATAAAGAAGTTCGTAATTAGGTCTGAATTTATGAATTGTTATAACTTGTAATTTAAATGCTAACAAAAAAGTTGCTATCATTAAATGCTACAAGGAAAACTAAAAAAAAAAAATTTTTTTAACAAAATGTATTTAAACTAGTTTCATTATTATTTTAGTACAAGATAAGTAAAATCTGTTAATGTTAACTTTTTAAAAAACGTTTAATTAAACGAATTAAGAACTTTCTTTAATATATATGTATATATATATATATATATATATATATATAGCTACAGTTAGCAAGGATTGAAATTTAAAAAAAGAAAGATTCTCTCTAACCTTTTTTGGGTTGAAATAGTTTTCGCGAGCGAAATTTTAACGAATAAAAAAATTACCGCAAAGAGGAAAGCTAAAATAGCCATTTTGTTTCCTCATTTAAAATTAAAATAAAGCTCTCTGCCTGAGTGAACTCAATTTACATATCTTGCAGCATTTATTTAATTCAGCACTCTAAACTTCACTTTTATGAGTTGTCACTATGTTGAATTCGAAATGCGTATTCGTAATCGGATTATAGTTTGAAGTTTCTTCGAATCATTCTCCATGATAAGAAATGTATCTAAAATGTAACAAATTTTTACTCTTAATTCCATAAATGGTTTTTTTATCACATTTTTTTTAAGAAAAAGGTAATACATAAATAATTAGTGTCTGTTAAATATTTATCCAATGAGTATAAGCTTTATTCTGCTACATAAGTAGACTAAGATGACTACCACTTCTACACTCTAAAAAATTTCTGTTAAAATTAAGTTAAAAAATACTAACACCGTGAGTGCAGTATTCGTGAAATCTGATTCTACCGTAAAAATTCCTACCTTAATTTTTACAGTTATATTTATTTAATTACAGTGATTCCGGGACTTGAAAATAAATATTACGGATTATCAGACTTTTCGTTCGTTGAACTTTTATGGTAAAAAATTGATTTTACGGTAAAAAAGAACTGGCACCTTGAGTGCTGGTACTTTTTTGCGAAATTCGTTCCGAAATTTTTTAAACTGCAGTTTATAATAGACGCAGTATTGCTAGATTTACTTCTAAATACCAACCAATTACGATAAGATTCAATACCTTTGATGATACTTTTTAAATTGTACAAATTTAAATATATTATAGATCCTAAAGGATATCTTTTAAATATTAGTTTTAAAATAATAAGACATTTTTTCTTTAAAATTTTACTTTAAAATTTCTTTGTTCAGAAAAAGTTGAATAATGTTTTAGTAGTAAATTATTCCATTTACAACTATTTTTAAAGATTCTATTCACTGTGAAAAAAATAGATAAATATTTTATTGAAAAACTCGTGAAAGTTAAATTATGTTTTAGTAGCAAATTATTATATTTAATTATATTTTTAAGGAGTATATTTATTATTAAAAAAACAGATGAATGTTTCACTGAAAAATTAGTGAAATTAAATAATGTTTGAGTACTAAATTATTACGTTTACTAATATTTTTAAAGAATGTATTCACTGTCAAAAAAGTAGATAAATGTTTTCCCCTCGCTAAGTCATTTCATTGAGAAGTGAGAGCTCGTTCAAGACTTTCCAGACTTGAATGAAAAGAAACAAAAGCGATTTGAAACATAAAACTTAAAGTTTCCAACGAAAAATAGAGGTGAGAAACAAAAATTGAAAAAACTCAGTAGCCGAGACGGAAAAAAAGTTTATAAACAGAGCAAGAGAAACTCCTGTGGCCGAGAGGGACGAATCAGGGTAAAATGCATTTCCACGCGTTATGAAGGAGTGTTGAGGAACTAATGTCGTCAACAAGGGAATCAGCATTCATGCGTATAAAACAAGTTTCAAAGGTATCAAGATGAGCTGATGTGACTGGTGTGGATATAAGTTTGCCATTGTCGAAATTGGATTTAAACCTGAGATTCCACCAATGTGCATTAATTGATAATTTTTAGATACGATTTCGTCTTCTTGCAGCCAGTTACCGTCCAAAGAAGTCTCAGTCAGTTTACCCAATCTAGTTCTATTCGATGCTATATTTCTCCACTTGTTAACTCCCAAGCCCTTTAACCACTTCTCGATCTACCCATGCGTTATCAAAACCTTGAAAAATCTTCAATTATTGCACATTGTTGACATCTTGGACATAAATATAGCTTCCACAATGCCAATATCATTTCCACCCTAGTCACACTAGCTTATCATGATGCCATTTAATCTTGTTTTATTCTTATCAATGCTAATTGCCTTGTTAACGACATTAGTTTCTTTTCACCTCTCCATTAACACACACGGGAAAGCATTTTATCCTGATTTACCATTCTCAGCCACTGTAATTTTTCTCTTCCGCTTCCGGATACTATATTTTTCGCTTCCGGATACTGTCTTCTTTGTAAAAAGAAAACTTTGCTTCTTATTTTTAGTTTTCTAATTTTTGTAGG